TTTAAAACATAACAGAATTAATTGCCTTTTCAACTTAAAGATGATGCACAATTGCAGAGTGCTGAGTAACTGTGTGAGAACAATAAAACAGTATCAAAGTTCTGGAGACCTTAGAAATACTGATCGCTAAATTAGATGGATAAAAACGTTTAAGGGACAGTATGATGAATTCTTATAATGTGCGATATTAGATAAAATTGAGAATGGAAATGGGGAATGTGTCAAAGAGACAACAACCCGACCATAGAGCAAACAGTCAGTCAAACGTTACAAACATCTTATTCAAATAAATTTCTTTAAAACGCAAGTTTATTTTCATATTTATCATGTTATTCCTACTGTATTTTGCATTTGAACAGTATTCTATAGTTGTTATAATTTACGAACATTTATACAACTCTTTGGTTTGAGTTTAAGTCATATTGATTTTTTTTTATCGCCATACATTTTTTTTTAAATCTCGGTAAATCAATGATTTAGATGACAGAAAAAAAAGAGAAATATAATTTGCCTGAAATCAAAACACAACTGATTGAATTAGGAGTAATTATGATGATTGCACAAAATTATAAACTTAATATCTTTGACGATTTTAGTTTTGTTACTAAAGAGGTTAATTATGTTGAGAATAACGAATAATGTTTTGCAATTTTTATTGAACAATCTAAATCTTGGTCATTTTTTTAGTTTTGTATTTACTCATTACAATAAGAACTGAAAATACTTGATAAAGTAAAAGCAACTAAAGACAAGAATTTCCAATGGCAGAACGACGATGGCTGCGGTATTACGTGTGTGTTGATGCGTTACTAATTACTATGTCTTAACAATAAAGTGTATTATCTTTCAATGGGCTATTTTGAATAAACTTAATACAAACTTATTTATTAAATATTTTTCTTTTCATTCAAAAATGACTTCCTAACCTGGGACGTTACAGCACAACATAAGATTGAACTATAAAAGATAGTGAATATGTACCTAGGTATGTCATTAAAACACCTTACTTCATCCTTTTCTAAGTACAAAACGAAATAGTTTTCTTTGTGATTGTATTTTAAGACAGTCCAAATCTGATGGATGAAGGTTAATCATTTTCAAAAGCTCGGCTGGAGGATTGATTGTTAACAAACACGTTTTATCCAACCTTGTTTGCTTTTCTGTTTCTGTCCAATATTCGGAACTTTTGATTCAATATTTGTCGTTGTTTCCCGTATGTTATATTTGTTTACTGTTAAGTGTTTGTATTTCTACTGCTAATTGTGACAGACTTTTGTCATTTCAGAACCTTTTATAGTTGATTATACGCTATGGGTATTGCTCATTCTTGAAGGCCGAATGTTGACCCGTTTTTGCTTACATTTATGACATTTGATCTCTGGTGGATAGTTGTCTCAATGAAAATCATTAATCAAAGCACATGTCCTTATTTTTATTTAGGAAGTGCAAACTCTTTTCCTAGATTGTGACATAACTAAATGAGACTCAAAGTAATTCGTACTTACTATGAGTGACCACTACAAACCAGTAAAAGTCTGAAATGGCCTACATGTATATTCGACTGTACTGATTTCTACTTGACCCGACATTACTCGACCTTTACTTTACCAGTACTTAGCAAATTAATACTTGTCTGAACCATACTCGACCAAGTCTGAACCATTCTTGACCAAGTCTTTTTGAATGAAAAGAGAAATAATTAATAAATAAGCTTGTATTAACATTATTCAAAATAGCCCATTGATAGATAATACACTTTATTGTTAAGACATAGTAATTAGTAACGCATCAACACACACGTAATACCGCAGCCCTCGTCGTTCTGCTATTGGAAATTCTTGTCTTTAGTTGCTTTTACTTTATCAAGTATTTTCAGTTCTTATTGTAATGAGTAAATACAAAACTAAAAAAATGACCAAGATTTAGATTGTTCAATAAAAATTGCAAAACATTATTCGTTATTCTCAACATAATTAACCTCTTTAGTAACAAAACTAAAATCGTCAAAGATATTAAGTTTATAATTTTGTGCAATCATCATAATTGCTCCTAATTTAATCAGTTGTGATTTGATTTCAGGCAAATTATATTTCTCTTTTTTTTCTGTCATCTAAAGCATTGATTTACCGAGATTTAAAAAAAAAATGTATGGCGATAAAAAAAAAATCAATATGACTAAAACTCAAATCAAAGAGTTGTATAAATGTTCGTAAATTATAACAGCTATAGAATACTGTTCAAATGCAAAATACAGTAGGAATAACATGGCAAATATGAAAATAAACTTACGTTTTTATTAAATGTATTTGAATCAGATGTTTTAAACGTTTGCCTGACTCTAATATCGCACATTATAAGAATTCATCATACTGTCCCTTAAACTTTTTTATCCATCTAATTTAGCGTTCAGTCTTTCCAAGTTCTCCAGAACTTTGATACTGTTTTATTGTTCTCACACAGTTACTCAGCACTCTGCAATTGTGCATCATCTTTAAGTTGAAAAGGCAGTTAATTCTGTTATGTTTTAAAGGACACATTTCGTGTCATTTTTAACAGAAATTTCGAACCGCCCATGGAATACAATTGCACTTTCTATCTTGCATTAACATCTCTTATTTTATATTCAGTTGATTATTTTCTTTACCATAGTTTCTTTTTAGATGATTTATGTTTTCACCAGTATCGAAAGTCAACAAAAGATGTGTGGTGTAGTATCAAATGATGAATGGTCTTTCAAAGATCAGTATTCGATCACAAATGGCTTGTCTAACACGTCCGATTTAACCTTTGTGTGATCTGCAAGTTTTGCCTTTGCAGCCTTTGGGCATGCGTGTACTGAAGTAATGACCTTTTACTTAGAACGCCAATCGTAACCTTTACACAAAAGTGACAGAAAATTTAGTTTTTATAATTTTTCTTCAAAGTGTATTGACCTTAGGTTGTGCAATTACATTACTGTCCAATGTAAAGTGAAGGGTTATTCGCTCAGCAGAACAAAATAGGGAATGGAAATAAGGAATGTGTAACCTCAACTTTCCTTCTTTTATTGCTAGGCGTTGCCTAGGTTAGCAACCTTAAATCAAGTGGTTGTCGTTGGTTGCTGTCTGTCATATCTCTTATTATTTCAATTATGGTCGTCGGTTTTGCTAATTTGTGAAAGTCACAGCGACCTATAGTTCCTCTTTATTCGGACAGAAAGTGGCCTAACTTGAAATCGTACTAAATCTCCTTATTTTCATGCAGTATGTTATATAAAGTAAATGGTTTATTCTGTTTGGAAATTTAAAAAGTACATTTTTTAATCTGAAATCAGTTAAACGATATTATTGTATCTTTTCATTTCTAATTTTTCGTATTGAGATGTTTCAACTAATGACGACCTTGACATTGATAAATTAAAGGCAATATAACAAATATAGTTATTTTAAACGACATTGACACAAACAGATGTTGCATACTGTCTTAAAATTTTGAACTTTATATTGTACACCAGCTTCATGTAGCGATATTTTGCTCTCAAATCTAAAGATATATTTGTAATTCAATTAATGAGAACAATTCTAAAATGTATACTCAACATTGTTCCCTGGTAATCATAGTCAATGACACTATAAATTTCACCTTTCACGTAAATATATTCATCTTACAAGTTTTGTTCTAATGTTCATTAATATTCGTTACTAATAAAATTTCACAGCATGGAGATTTTGAAAGATATCACAAAATACTAGTAGTCAAGACCTTAACTAAATATTATCGCAAAAATCGAGGTTTATTCACGAACTATGAGTCCATGAATCTAATTATCAAAAGTTTTTAAATGAATACTTTGTGATTTCGTGATCTAGATTTGAAAAGGGAAGAAAAAAAACTTGACACTCTACTTATACACGTATCAGTTCATTAGTGGTTTTCTTGTGTTATAATGTTATGTGTCTTTTCTATATTGTTGTTTTGAGATTTTGGTGATGATGGCATATATCTTATTGTTTCTGTTTATTCATATTTTGTATGTGCCTGTCCCAAGACAGGAGCCTTCTATTCCGTTGTTGTTGGGTGTTGCTGTATATCATATTTGTTTTTTCTTTTTTTGTTTTGTAAATAAATCAAGCTGATATTATCCTCAATTGAATTGTTATACACTCTCATTTCGGGACCTTTGATAAGGTCTAACTCATAATTGAAGGCTGTACGCTGACCTACAGTTGTTTTTAATTTTACGTTATTTGGTCTCTGATGGAGAGTTGTCTTATCAATAATGGCACCACGTCTTATTTCTATTTGATATAGAATTTGAGACGATTTTCGCCATAACATGTTGTATCGACACCTTTCTGTTGTTAAATATCATGGATATGTAAATACGAAGATTAGGTATAATTCCTGATGAGACAACTTTCCACCGTAGACAAAATGACATATAAGTTAGCAACTGTAGATTATCGTACACCTTTAAGATTGAGCAAAATCCGTATTTCAAAGCTAGCTATAAAAGACTCGACATGAAAAAAAAACCTCAACAATTTAAACGAGAAAACTAGCGGATTGATTTATATGTAATCGTTCAACGAAAAACGAAAAAAAAAATATTATATACAGTAAATAATTACAAACACTGAATTGAAGGCTCCTAACTTAGGAAACGCACATGCAGAATGTGGCAGGGTTAAACAGATTTGCAGGCAACCTATCAACCCCTGATTTAACAACACACTCAGAACAAACTGTAGAAATCATTTGAAAAGGGCTTAAATTGTCATATCGATACAAAGCCCAAAAAAACACTAAATACAAGACTTAGTTTACTCGCAGTTATTTTGAGCTGGCTAGTTCAAAGCAAATGACAACTAATAGGAAAATTCATTTATCTTGGACGAAAATCTCAATCAACCAACATTCAATGGATTTAGTCTAAAGACGTCACAAACAGTTAGAGAAAGAAATCATTATAATATTCATTTTCTAATTATTGATAACACAATTAGGTCATTAGTTCTCTCTAAATTTTCTTACAGATGCGTTCATAATTATTATCATTGTAACCACTTTTACATTTTTCCCAACAAGTGGCTTGCTGTTTGATTTCATTATTGTTGCATTAACTTTGTCGCTCAGGTAATGTGACCTTTATACCAGGTCCGCCATTTGGTTCGCAAATACAGCATCCTACAGGCTTATAACCAGCTTTACATTTTGGGTAACACAATGCGCCGTTTTTGTCTTCGACATTACGACACTTTTGCCTTTGTGCTAGAGTTTTCACTATACCAGTCCCGCCATTTGCTACACATGTACAGCATCCACTTCTATGGTATCCATCTTTGCATTTTGGATAACAAAGACGTCCAGTCATCTCTTCGTTCGATTTACACCTTTGTCTTTGGAAGAGTGTCAACTTTATGCCTATATTTGTTTTTCTGCAGGTGCATCCATCGTCATGGTAACCACTCTTACACTTGTTACAACATCCCCATAATGTGCAACAGCATCCCTTTCCATATATATGGGCATCACTCCAACAACTAGTACCGTCATCTCGCATTCCAGATGGACATGGTGTTTTATCTGGCAATCGACCGGCACCTCTCCCATACATATGTATCCAACAGCTTAACCCATCGTCACGTGTGTTAGGGGGACACTTTTCTTTATCCGGGACACGACCTGCTCCTCTTCCATATGAATCTTTCCAACAACTTGTACCGTCATCACGCATTCCAGCTGGACAAGGACGTTTATCAGCTGATCTGACTTTTCTTTGATTTTCTTTTCGTTTAGCTATACCATCGCGTACTTCGATTTGAAGACCTTCCAAGCATATGCCTGCAAATCAAACACATATGAAGATTTTGAAACACATTCAATTAAACTTAACTATTAAAAAAAAAGCAAAACCAAAAGATACTAATATATATGTTACCCTCCAAATGTTATTTGTTTATTTGTATCGTTATGTTGTTCACTAGCACTACAAACTGCTTAGAGTCTGAAAAGACCATCTTTTGTGCTTGACCAGTAATTGTGTGTGTATTTTAGCATAGACGACATCTAATTAATCATCGAGGTGACCTACGAAGAATGCCGACGGTCATATAACCCAATATAAATAGATAGCGAACGCGTGCAATTTGATTTTCTAGGTCTGTTTGATTTCATATTATAGGTTAAAAATATATGTTAATCATCGTTTTTACCTGTATAAAGATGAGTTTATGTCGATCGAATCAGTCATTCAAATTATTCACCCTTGTTTACATTCTGTCTTTTTAATTACTGAATACGCATAATTCATGCGTTACCCATCTCTAGCTTAGGGGTTACACTGAAGGTCACATGAATACGGATTCAATGAGGTCGAATTATTCAATTCATCAGCGATGTTTCTTAGCTTATATTTACAAAATTGAAGCAAACTGTCTGCTAAAAGCAAATAATTATTTCACTCTTTCACTTTCGTTAATGATAGAACAAAAAAAAAAATCAAATATATTATTTTGTTTATATCTAGAAGCTATTCCCTTTAAACATTTTTATAACTTTTTTTTCAAATCAGCTTGGATTTTCATCAAATTTTGCAGCTGTCTCAATTAAATGTTGTTCTTACAACAACTAGAATTTTCAGTTCTGATTAAATTCAGATAGTCACCTTTAAATCTTTTTATAAATTTTCCAAATCAACTTGGATTTTCATAAAACTATACAGCTACCTCAGTTATGTATTGATCTTACAGAATGCCAGGTTCTTTGGTAGTTGGATTTATTGCTGTCAAATATAAGGATTTAATTAATAGGTAAAAAAGCTAGAATTTTCAGTTCACACTAAATTCAGATAGTCACCTTTAATTATTTCTATAACTTTTTCAACTTGGATTTTCATAAAAACTCAAGAGCTATCTTAATTTTATATTGATCTTACAAAATGCCTGGTTATGTGGTCATTTTGTTATTTGCCATCAAATTTAAGTTAAAAAAAAACTAAAATTTTCAGTTTGGACCAAAATCAGATAGATACCTACAAATTAAATCTTTAAATTTGACAGCAATGAACCAAACAACCAAGACTGGTCGAGCATTTGTCGAAACAATATTCAGACTATACCAAGATTTTTAATTACTCAATTAGACGATGCACTCGATAAAAATCCATTGATTCGTTTCAACAAGTTTCCTTTTGTTTTCATGTCTGTATGCTTAAATCATTTGTAAGTATGAAATATTTGATGTGTTCATTAATTAATGTGTATATTTCTTGTTGATTTGGAGACGACGTTACTAAGTTGTAAAACTTGTGTCTGATCCATTGGTCAGTTTGAACAAGAAAATATGTTTAAACTAACTCAATCAGACTTATTAAGTCGAGACCAAAGTCGAGTACAGTTAAGTACAGTTAAGTATTGTCCAGATAATATCGAGTCTTGTCAAGTAAAATATGTGATCGACCACAAAATATGGTCTTTTCAGACTCTGAGCAGTTTGTAGTGTTAGTAGTAAACCAATGTTTTACTGAAACGGTACAATTTGATCTTCATAGACTGGACAATATGTTAATAAATCAGGTTGTTTCAGTTAGTTTTTAGTGGTTTCAATAACGGTAAATTTAGTTATGTTCAGAGAATCCAATAGCAGTCAATTAGGATCTATGTTCTGACTGTTCAGCAGCTGTTATTACCCTGTACAACGACAACATACTGAATGCATAATAAAATGAAGTTCCTTTATGATATTGATCCCACTGGAAAATATATTACAATATTTGTTCCTGATGGAATAAAGAGTATAGAGCATGTGTTCCAACAGGAACAGATATAATACCATCGTTTATAACAAGGTTCCAGAGTAACTTTAGTTAGCAGGAACAAATATTCGTTTACAAATTGTCTAAAAGGGAACTTAACAAACCTGGATTTACAATAAGAAAACATCACAATTTGTAATAGTTTGAACCATTTAACGACAAACAAACAAATTTTTGAAATCAAAAGGGAGTTTTGATTTTTATCATGAATATTCAATACACATTTTTCTTTGCTTAGCAAGACAGTGCATTTGCTATTTAACGTCTTGAATAAAAAATTAAAAAAAAAAAGAATTTAATTTAACTTAATATATTACAGAATATGTGTAGTCAACGGATTTACATATATGATAAAACAGTATTGTATTTACTAAATTATACAACAGTTAAGCGATGATCAAACAGTATTCAGCAAACAAAATTGCACAATGTGTAAAGTATATATGTTACAGTGAATTTGTAAAATCAGGGATTTTGTATAATCACTGAACTGATCAGTGATTTTATAAAATCCCTGATTTTGAAATAATTAAGATCTTTTTTAAGATTCCCTGGTTAAATTGTTTATTTAAAAATTCTTTAAAAAACAACCCTACAGCAGTTACACTCAATAATTTTGAGGTTAATTTAGCCTTTTATATTATTACTAAGTAAGAAGTTTTCACTAAGCAACTGATATACATGTACTGTAGCTCAGGCACAGATGTCGTTAAATCAAAAGCAAGCATACACACACAAGTTAATTCCAATAATTGAGGGAAATTTGAAATGTAACATATGGAACCGGAAAAATCATGAATCTCAATCAATGGTCAAACAAGCGAATCGTATGTTAAGTCGGTCTTATATTTGTTAGAAGAAGTAGACATTTGATGTAATATCATTCCTATTCCAGTTGTTGATTGTGAAAAAGGTGATCCAAGAGATATAATGGCAATTGCCCATGGAGAGTCAGAGAAAGATTACCGTCTTGATAACAAACATGAACCATTTTGCTAGGTTTATACACTAGAAACCAGTTTGAACCCACCGATTTCCTGTTTTTGAGTACGTCAGCTGTATCTATTGCTAATTTCATATCTTTTCTATATGCAATTAAACTGTCTTCCATTTGTGATGAACACGGCTTATTAAAATGTGGATGTTCTGGAAAGAATAGAGGTGGACAAAATAGGTGTGCCTGTCGAAATGCAAAAATAAGTAAATTGTAATCTTTAATATCAGTTCATATACCTTTTATTAATAATCACTGTACAATAGTTTTGACTAGTAATGGTTATTTAAAAAAATATATTTCAAAATCATAAGTCTACTTTTATATTAAGAAAAACACATTTCTAAAATCAAGTTTAAACTTGTAATCGAGGATTTTACAAAATCCCTATCACTATTTTCAGTGATTTTATAAAATCCCTAACAATTTCATGGATTTTGAAAAATTGCTGAAACTGTTAGTGATTTTACAAAATCACTAATTAATCCAGGGATTTTACAAAATCCCTGATTTTACAAATTCACTCTACCATATACAAACATATCTAGTTTTCAGGTTTTTTTTATAAATATTCAATGAACTCACTTAGAGCTACAAAAAGAAAATAACTGTCCTACTGCATTTAATCATGTATGTTACAGAACTACTTGATGTACTTTCTCACTCCATTACGGTATTGTCTTACACAAATCTGATGTCGCTTCTAATTAGCAGCACGAAAGAACAAATCATGCAATATGATGTTTTACCCAAAGTTATAAGAGGTCTTATAATTTCCCCAATGTTATCACATCTTTTTCCAAGGACATTTAAGCAACATTTGTCTCTGAGAAAACACTCAAATAAATATGAGCAACTTATCAGGCGTTCAAATTTATAAACACATGATCGGTAAATGCCACTTACTCAAAGGAACATTGGGTTTTTCAAGTTCTTTGCAATCATATGGTTAATAACCAGCGTATACATAATGATTGACAAGATAGTGGAGTGTCAAAATGATATTAGTCCTCTATATTACTAAGATTGGCATATTCAAAAGTATATAAGAATCTTTGCGATTCTCTATGGGTTTTGTTTTGGGTTTATGTATTGTATAAATAAACAAAGTTTGAACATAGGTAAACTATTGTTGTCTCTAATTTAAGTTTTTGTGCACGAAGTTACCTACCGTACTAAAGAATATTACAAACCATAGTTTAGCAATTTGAAGCCACAAATCACTTTGAGATATGTAAGAACTACTGCAATACAGCATATAGTTATATAAAAAAAGAGATTGTTGAAAAGAATATGCATACATACCTAATACCAAGATGACACCAAGCCTCAGCATTAACATTGTGGTATAGTTGTTTTGTAGACAGTTGGATTGGCAAAATCTCTATACACTTCTGGAGTGATTCATGTTTATTTTATAGTCAATTCAACACCCATAAATTAATTGATCAATGTCAATCGTCGAAACTCCGCCTATGTCAGCATTTTGTTACATATTCAATATATTTTGTTTTTGCAATGGGGAATTGCGTATAGTGCAATCGATAATTGTGAATCTGGTAAAATGAATGTTGTTTGGGTTTTAATGTGACTTGTTTTATAAATGTTAATATACATTGAAATTTGCAATTCCCTTAAACGCATATAATTGAGCGTACTTTTTATATTGTTCGAATCGTTTATGGTTTAAATATGAATGTGGGAAAATAATTTTGTAATGATGAATAGAGAATGGTATGTGGTATACTTATGTATGAGGAATTGTGTATGGTAAGGTGTAATGGTGAATGCTGCACGGTATAAAGATCAATGTTGTGATTGGGAAATGTTAACCACTCAAGAACTGTATTGAGAATTGTTTATTATTGACAATGCTGACCAAAACTGCATTCATCAGACAAGTCTTGATTTAAGTGCCACTACTTAGTAAGACTAAGCAACCGAATACTAAATCCTTAGCCTAGATATCTTCAATTAGTTTTTGACCAAATTATTCGACTTCGTGTCAATTTAGATGTCAACTTAGTTTATGAACTTATAAAGATCAAAATCCACATGTGACATATCGGTTATATACTGGCGTTATCTTTCTATTAGCGAAAACAAGTTGGTTTCAGTATCTGTAGATATCATGATTATACGGTTAACTAGAATAAAAAGTACATATACAATGTAAGGAAATTATAAACATTTTGTATGAAGTGAGAAACTCCAACAGTTTCGTGCGGAAGACAAAAAAAATAATGATAGGCATAGACATAATATTTTTTTCACTTCAGCTATAAATTGCTGCTTTTATAATAGGGAAAATGTTAACACATAATTAAAACTTATTGCCCTTCCGTGAACGAGCAACAGTTGTCACGAACAATGACGTGACATACATTTAAGTATACCTTAAGTATGGACAAGTTATAATTTACATATGTTTTCAAGTATCAAATTGCACAATTAAGCAAAATAAATAATATTACTTTCAATCATAATCAGTTTGTCATTTTCAACATGCATGTTAACATAAACAGATAATTAATATTTGATTATATTATTATACATATAACATAATTATAGACAAATCATCAACACGATTATTAATTAATGATATCATTATTGGAAATAGCGTCATTAATTATTCGTCCATTTTTATTCTTAAAGTGGGTTACTAGTTTATATTTTCAGCGATTTCTGAACTTAGCAAACCAAATAAAGCAGGTCTGAAGGACACATACAAAAATAGACAACACATAACATAGTGACCTTCGCAATTCTTAAGTTGAAACATCTTCTTTTGTTCATAAGAAATATTTCAAAATAAAAAAAAGTTGTTGTCAGACACGCCATAGTTTATTTCTTTTTTTTGTTTTTGTATTTGTACCAGTTCAGTGTTTCTGTTGTTCTGTTGTTTTCCTCTTAAAGTTGATGTGTTTCGGTTTTGGTTTGTTACCCGGAGTTGTTTTCGCTTAATAGAATTACGACTATTTAACAGCGGTATGCTACTGTTGCCTTTTATCTTTCACACGTGAAAGGAAAAATATTATTTAAAAAGCAATTTGGCTTATTTGACATAAACATGATAAACTTACAGAAATAATATAAGAAAATATATCTTTTTTTGTTTCTCCATTCATACAAAAAGACGTTGTTGTCCTATTCGTTTAGCAATGCTTGACCTGTTGAACTGTTAAACACAAGATGGATAATGTTGTCATACTCATTGATATGTAAATGTATGACGTTGATTTAAATCAAATTTGTTTTGGTCGTTGATGAGGTTTGAAAAATGTTATATATGCGATGGGGAAATATACCCTTGTATAAGCTATTGGTCATATTTGTGTTGCATATGCAATATATATTACAAATAAAAAGCTGCTGTACACAGGAACGTTTGGAATTGCAAACTACAATACGGTATACAAGTTAAAAACAACGATTGTTTTGAATGACAACTGGCTATTAAGTATCCACAATAGTGATAGCCGGTAATAGAATGTAAAAAAATAACGTTGTGTGTTTCATAAGAATTTATCTGGCTCGATGATAATTCCGGATACTAATGGGGGTTCGGTACTATCATTAATACCCCCAGTATTGGCAAAATGAGATAAGTGTCTGGGAGATCTTTAAAAAACCCACACGCTAACACTCCTAATTGTCGAGCTGCTGACTACAGATAAATGCATTATATTTAGTTATACATGAAAAAAGTTTGCACGCATCACGATATATTTTGTTACAAAAATAACGGTAATGTTTAGATAGTTCTTACTTTTTAAGGATAACGTTTGATCACTTTGATGCATATCGGTTCAGGGCATTCCGATCATCACATTTATATGTGCATTGGTATATTTTATCACAGTATTATTCATTGACGAGTTCAAACATGTACTATATTGAATTGCAAATTACTCTTTTAATTAAAGTTACTTTTAATGTAAATGAACACGAAAATATCCGCAGTCTGGGGAGTGAAATAAGTACAAGAAACAGAACAAAGGTAACAAAAAAAGGCCGGTAACAACCGTTGCCATATAGTTTTTCTACACGAGTAGTCAGGTCAAGTCCAAGGCGATACCTGACCTGACTACAAGTGAAGAAAAACTATACGGCTGGTTGTTGCCATCCAGTTTATTTTGTTACTTTTTTTTTGTATCTGACTTGTACGACGTTTTTAATTAGAAATTAATACAAAATTTTAAAGGATTGCATAATCAAAAAGATTGAACACTAGAAAATGCATGCCGGTTTATGTATCACGATGGTTCAGTGGAGATATCAAGTCTTTAATAGAGTAGGAATTTTGCGTTAACACCAGTTCCTCTCAATTCTGTCAGCCTGGTGGGAGTTAAATGTTTGCTTATTCCTTTTATACATATCAGTAAAGTAGGAATAGATTGCCAAAAGTGTGTGGATGGGGAGGCGGGGCTAATAATTTTGCCCCTCACCTTTGTGTGTAATGTGGATGTGGTCCCCTTTCCTTATTTCTATGCCCCTGATTTTTTATATACTCCTCCACACCAAGAAACAAGCATTAATATGTTCAAACGAACAAAGCCAAACAAAGAAATATATTTTGCCTCCTCTCTTCTCCATTTTGAAAGTGGGGGGATTGCTCCATTCCCCGGCTCATACCCCCTCGCAAAAAAAAACAAAAGAAAAGAACAAAAACAAAATAAACAACGAAATTATAAATAACAGATTTAAGACATTTGAAAATTCAACGACGTATACAAATGAGATAGGAAAGAGTAATCGGACAAACGCAAATACAGCATGTATAAATATTGTAAAAATCAATAAAATAAAGAACAAAATATATAAGTATAGATTAACGCTATTTCTCTTATTTTATAGAGAATAACATGTATTGAAAAATAATTGATTTTGTCTCGTTTAAATAAAGGCAACAGTAGTATACCGCTGTTCAAAAGTTATAAATCGATTGAGAGAAAACAAATCCGAGTTACAAACTAAAACCGAGGGAAACAAATCAACTATAAGAGGAAAACAAAGGAACAACAGGAACACTGAAGTGCAACAAAAACAAACGCCAACATACATAGAAACGAACTATTTGATAACAACTGCTAAAAATTTAAAGAATTTTTCATCCACTTATTTTGGATATCAATTTTTTGTATTGTTAATTTTTTGCTCATTACAGTAATGTGATATTTGAGTAGACCCAAGAATTTTTACGTGACACAAGATTTTTTCATTTTCCATCCCTATATACAAAATGGGTGGTAGTTTTTTGTGCTCCTTACGCAGAAACTGCTTCAACAGAGTTATGAGGAGGAAAGATTAAAAATGATACTACGTTAATTTTACGGACACCATCACAAATTGGTTGATCTTTACGATGTGTCTGTGTCTAAACTAACTAACGACGTTTTTACCAAGTCTTAGATTGTGGTTTAATATCTATGTCGTCTGTCTGCTAAGTACCGAACGTGACCTATTCCCGAATATGACTGTTTTGCCGAGTGTAAATTTACATTGCTATACGACGTGTCTCGGTATTTATACATCCAACATTCATGCATTTAGTTATAATGTTTCTATTGTGGGTTCCGTTAGATATTGTGTTATGTCTCATCGTTTGTGGTTTGAATTCTGTAATTTTGGTACATTTCACATTATGTCTTATTTGTTTTTTCTTACAATGTCCTGTACAAAGTCAGGAATATGGAAGTTGTTATCAAATAGTCCGTTTCTATATATGTTGGTGTTTTCTTTTGTTGCACTTAAGTGTTTCTGTTGTTGCACTTCAGTGTTTCTGTTGTTCCGTTGTTTTCCTCTTAAAGTTGATGTGTTTCCCTCGGTTTAAGTTTGTAATTCGGATTTGTTTTCTCTCGATCGATTTATGACTTTTGAACAGAGATTTACTACTATTGCCTTTATTTATTAACGTTGATACTTATTTTGTGCTATAACAATTCGTCTTAAGCAAATTCCTTGAACATAAAGAGAAAAAGGGATATCCTCCGTACATTTCGATTAAGACGATTTAAAAGATTTCAGCTTAACTGTTTAGCAAACCCGCAAGAGATTTGTACATGGAAATATTTGATGGTTGCAGTTACTCTTGCAGTCACTAACTTCGGAGACACTTTATTTAATTTCAGCATTTTCGAAAATGGTTACCTTTTTACAAATATAATTTTTATGAAGACTTTCGTATAAATTATATTTATAAACGAAGATAATAAGGTCACAACGTGTACCATAAAGTGCCTATTAACTCACTGAATGCACGGGTGACTCTATTCATAAAACGAGTCCGTGTATCGTCATAAAATGTGTCCGTCTAACACCAGTTATTGTACTGTTTGTATATGTCTTACTGGGGGCAAAGTCGTACAACAGTATTTATTTCTCATGTGAAATATTGA